GTTATTCTTATGTACATTAGCTGAGCTGATACTTCCTCTACTGAAAATGGTGATTTTTTAAAAAATATGGTTTATTCTTTCTTTTAATTCTTCCAGTTGCTGAATTAACATTTTAAATAGTTTAATAATTGTATATTTCTTATATATACTTAGGAATGGGACTATTCTATAAATGCTTGCTTCAAAACCATTATACTATCAACTTAATTAGTAGAATTTAGTACCAAATATTTCCATTCATTCTGTCCAACATGTTGTGAAATTAATGATCTGAAACAGGAGAAGAGAAAGTTGGAAGGAATTTTATTCACCTGAAATTTCAGAAATGTGTTTTAATTCTTACGCACTTTAGTAAATATGAGAGTTCACATTTATTTGGTGTTTTTAAATTGCTCTTATTAAAATGGCTTAATAGAATATTTTAAAATACTTATTTCATGGATCTTTAGAAAGGGCACACATTCCAAGATCAAAAACTAAAGTTTTTGGTTCAAGGAGGTTAAGTAAATAATTCAGAAATGCATTCTATTTACCTGTTAATAATTAACTAGTGTGTATTTTTCATAGTCATTGAGTTTTTATTTATTTATTTGTTGGTGTGTTGGCTTTTAAGAATTTATTTAAGGTAGGATGCTATTGGAAATAAAAACAAACAGTGAAGCTGCATAGTAAAGCAAAGGGCTTGGATTATTTTTAAAGAGACAAGAAAAAATAATAAATTGATTGGACTTGAGGGTTAAAAGCAATATGAAGTACATAATCTTTTTCAGCTTCTCCCCTCTATTTGGAAAAGAAACTGAAATACAAGTATAATTCCATAAAGTGAATGGTCTTTGAATGTTTCCCTAGAGCTCCAGGTCAGTGGAATTTGGTATGATTTTAGATGGCTTTTGTTATGGGTTAGCATGGCCACTGTTTTTGAAGAATTCTTAGAGAAGTCCATCATAGAATTTATCAATTTGTTTTGTATTTAAAAAGTTGAATAATACCCGAAGAAGAATGAATGCCTGTATTTTAGAAAGCATAGTACAGATGAATTAGAATTAGGTTAGACATTTTTAATCTGAAGGAAATATATCTTGTCCTCTTGATCAAGTAAATATACAATTTCTTTTATATGTTCTAAGAGAATTATACATTGTTTTCATTTGACTTTTTATGAGCTACAGATAAAACTTGTATTTAAATTTTTATTTAGTGAAGATGATTTGTTTTTTACAATTGTTGGTGGAGAATGGCCTTTAGCTATTTCTTTTAAATTTGTCCTAAATTGGTAAGCTCCATATAAAAATTAATGTTAGTTGATAATTCACCGTAAGAATCATAGTTCAAATGTAAGTGACTTTTGAATGGCATATTAAATCCTATGGATTGGGAAACATTTCTTATGCAGTAATGGACAGTATGGCTTTGTAATTGGCCAAAATTTGTTTACTTTTAACTTTTATAAATTTGAAATTTATACTAACCCTACTTCCAAACCTAACTTGGAGTATCTTCATTTCTCATGGCATAATTTATTTTATGTGTGTGGTGGTTCTGTCATTATTGATGGACATTTTATGTGTCTTCCTCTTTGATATGTTACTATATAAATGGAACTTTTTTACAGTCTACATTCTAGGCCATGCTTTTCTTTGAAAATTTAAATGAAGAAAACTGATAGATAACATTATAGATGGTTCTGGTTATTTAAAAAATCCTATTTTCCTTTCATAGTATTCTTTCTTTTTTCCCTCACTCCATCTGTTCTTTTTTTCTTCTCTTCATTGCTTTTTAAAAATTTTTAGTTAATGGCGGAAGGAGTCATGAAAAATGGAGACATATAGTCATTTTCAACTGATTTTTTTTTTGTAACATTGGGGAAGTCAAATAGTATAACAACTGTTTTCTGAAAAAAAATTTGTTTTGTGCCTTTTATGTTTATATACACAAATTATTAAATAGTAGTTCAAATTAAAATTATTAAAATTCTTATTGTATATCATTTAACTTGTTAGGCTTAATGATATATTATGGAATTTTGCTTGCTGTGTTTCATATTATATAATATACTTTAATCTGCTAGTTATTATGGAATATTTGTGTTTTAATTTGAATTTCTTTTATTTCTGTTGCTGAT